TTCATCTGCTTTGATTGTTTTGGTGAGAAAAACATTGTTCCTATAATCCAAATATCAAACTGCATTTCCTCTACATTTGTTCAAAGTTCTGAAGATCGAAGGAAGTTGACTAAAGTTCTCTCTGTGAAGAACAAGGTGTTCTTCATTGACCCACGAGAAATAGATGATTCCACAAGGATAGGAGTGTTGCAGGGTAGCAGATTCCATGGAGAGCTTTGGCAACTGTAGCTGAGGATTGGTGCAGGGGAGCATGGGATCCAAAGAGAGCTGTAAGGAGTGCAGTCGAGAGATCAGATAGTACAAATCGTCTAGTTTGATAGATTGTAAGTTGTTTGAATTGTTTATAGTGGATTGCCTAGCAAAGTGCCCAGAGTTTTTCCAGTTGGGTTTATCCCTGATTATTCTGGTGTTGATTTACTACTTTCGTTATTGTTTATTGATTGATCATATAAATTGGGGTATTCAAATTTAGAACTAAAATGACTTACATGTTTAATCATCTAGAAAAGAATTTAAAAGTGACTTCTTGTTGTTTAATTCCTAAAATATTTTTAATTCCGCATAATATACCTATTCATCCCCTCTAGATATTGTTAGGGTCGAATTGCGTAACTTTCAATTGGTATCAGAGCTTTAATTCGATTACTGGCCCTTTATATCATCTAGATGAGTCAGTCATTGTCTGTTCATCGTTTTTCGACGGAAGCAACTATGCCTACTGGAAAGTTGGAATGAGAGCATTCTTTAAATCTTTGGATGAACATATTTGGATTAGCGTTCAAAATGGGTGGGCTTTACCTTCAATAATTGTTGCTGGTGTAGTCACATCCACTGATATATCTCTATGGACTAAACTTAACTTAGATGAATACAACTGAAACAGTAAAGCATTACATCATCTGTTCATGGCTGTATCTACTGAAGAGTTTAGGCGAGTGTCGATGTGTGAAACTGCTAAAGAAGTTTGGGATATACTTGAAACCATTCATGAGGGTACCAAAACTGTTAAAAACTCTAAATTGCAGATGTTGACTACTAAATTTGAAGAGATTAGAATGAAGGATGATGAATCGTTCGTTGATTTCTATATGAAGCTGAATGATATAGTTAACTCTAACTTCAACTTAGGTGAAAGGATCCCCGAGACCAAAATCGTTAGAAAAGTCCTTAGATCCATGCCCGAGAGGTTTAGCCCTAAAGTTACTGCTATAGAAGAGAGTAAGGACTTAGATGTGGTTAAAATTGAAGAACTGGTAGGATCACTTCAAACTTATGAACTCACAGTCTCACAATCGAAAAAGGATAAATCCATACCCATGAACACCATTATAGAATAGGAGAGCAACTCCACTGATACTGAGACCCTTAGGGAGCAACTTGCCCAATTGGTATCAGGTTTCAACTTAAATCTCTCATATGATGGAGGCCTTGGGTTCGATTCCTTGGGGACGCGTCAGAAAGCCGTGAGGGGTAAGATGTGCTTGAGCTCTCTCAAAGCAGACAGTACACAAGGTAACGGCTTGGGTATAGAGACTTGGATCATTACACAACTTGCCCAATTGGTTCCAGAATTCAACTTAAGTCTCCCAAGGTCGGGTCGTTACAAACTTCCTTGCCAATCAGGTTAGCCATTTAACTGAGATGATGACTCGGTTAACTAAAATCACTTCTATTTCTAAACAAACTTGGGTTCAGAAAAGTGATTTGAAAGGTCGTGAGTTTGATCATGCTCTTAAAGGCAAGAGCATTCATGGTTCTTTATGATCTGTTCCTTAGGTGCATGTATATGTAGTCCATTGAGTTCATTCACTTGTTCATGCATCTCATTTATTTGCGTTTTGTTTTATTTCGTGTGTATTTGTTTTCTTTTGATATTGATTTTTTATTTTATATTTATCTTATTAAAAAACTTAGCTCTAGACAATTTATAATGTTCTTCAACATTGCATGTGTGATCAAGTATGTCATTATCATATCTATACTATTATTTACATCACTTGGTTCGGTTTTCTATGAAATATTGAGTATATGTTTCTCCATGTACCGTCTGCACAGCACATGCTATGATCTTGTGAGTGAGTCTGGATCGCGTGTGTGAGATTTGGGATGGCCGTTACATGTTGTAGGGTGACCTCGAACGTGAACTGACTTATATCTAGATGACATAGCTCGTTATGAGTCTCCCTGCACTATTTGAGAAAAAAAAATGAAATGATGAAATAAAGAAAAATTACGCACATGTTAGAATCATCTTATACTTTTGGTCGAAACTTATTTGATTCGAGCAATTAAGCCCGAAGGCTTTCTCATAACCTGGTGCCTATGGTCATCCGACTTGGGTTAATCAACCTAAAGCTCGTTACAATGGTCAATTTAGTCGCTTAATGGACAAGGGTCTGCACATAAGATGTAATTCACGAGAACGGTGATATAAAACATTACATGCTCATCTTCAGAGGGAGAAAATAGACTTAGTCATGTACTTGAGCTCGTTTTCAGGTCCTAACATTTCATTTGGGTTTGACTTCGTTAGTAGGGATCATACTTAACAGTGATGTTTGATGTTTGGAGTTATTTTCATTAGAAAATAGTGGCACTTTACATGCATGAGACACTTATAAACTTTACTCCATCGTGAACTTCATTGAGTGCGTGGGAAAGTCCTTATTGATAATGCTCGGCTTGTGAATGCATGTATGGTTGTGATTATCGGTCTGACAATTACTTCATTTACTTAAATTTGATTTTTTCAAAAGTTAATAAAAAAATATATTGCTATATTTATTCAATTTAAGTATTATTTAACAAAAAAAAAATTGGTACTATTTTTCTTAATTTTTAAATTTAAAGTGTTATTTCTGTCAATTGCTTTTTCACTAACTTGTCGCTAGTATTCGCTCGAGCGACAGGAGCAGAAGTTGCCTCACTCGCTTGTCGCTTGACCATCACTCGAGCGACAGACCATTATTTTGAATTCTAAGGTCCATTTTTAAGGGATTTCAATCATTTTTTCACCCTTTCTTCTCTCGATTTCTCACAAAATTCACCTACCCTTTCTAAATTTCTACTTCTTAAACACTATCTTCATTCATTCAAACATTTTGGTTGTGCCATTTCATCAAAACATCGAATTTCAATGGTAAGTTTATAAATTTTGGTTTTTCTCCTTTCATGTGGTTTCTTTGATTTTTTTTCGATATTTGTTCATTATTGACTGGGTTTTGGTGTTACACTACATGTTCTAATCATTTACTTTGAATATCATTCATTTGGCATAATTTTGCAACAAAAATCCAACTGTGTTCTATTTTGGCATTTGTTTTGAGTATTCGTTTGCATTGAAGTTCATCATGTTACTTAGACTTAGTTGTACATTGAGTATCGGTGTTATGGTGATGTTGGATGCATCGTTTTTGGTTTGGGTGATTTTGGAGTGCATTTTGCTTAAGGTCAAATTTGGTCTTTGTTTGATTGAGGTTGGGATTGTGTGTTTGTCCGTTAGAGTGTCTTTTTTTGTTCGGGTTTATCTATTATTGTGTGTTTAGGTTGGCATGTGTTGGAGTTGTGTGTTCATGTTGACACCATACGGTAACGTCACGTCACCATGTCATGGCGTCACATCACTTCGTCTGACATCCTGTCCAGACATCATGACACGCGTCGTCATGTCTTCACGTCACTTACATCTAGGCATCATTGCATGTCGTCATGCATTCATGTTACGGCACGTTGCATGTTATCATTTTTCCCTCGTTTTGCGTGCATTCATGCATACTATGCATGCCATGGTTTGGTTCATCTTATATCGAAGTTTTAATGTTGTGATTCCATTCTTTCAAATTAAGCCTAAGAGATACTGCACGACCCCTTCCACTCATAGTACATCTATCTCATACAGTAGGACTGGGTTTATCTCGACTGTGGCCCAAGACATTTTTGGTCGCAGTTTTCTCTTCGTCTCGTTCTTGTTGAGCGCGAGGTCATTTTATCTGCCATATCCCCCGACCTCACCGCCATTTTCTCTTTTTGAGGTTGGAAGCCTCTTTTAGTTGATTTAGTACACCCACCTAATTTTCTTATTCACGAGTTCTATGCTAACATTCATGATATTAGAAGCTCTTCTTTCAGGGTTTTTATTCGGGGTAGGACAGTTAAGATT